GTCCTTTCAATACTTTTTGATAATTCGTCCCGAATTATATAGAGCCAGGTGTTGCAGATTTTAACAAGTTTATTTTAATAAATCTCATAGATTTAATTTAGTAACAATCAAGATTTAGTTTAGTACCAAAATCAGATTTAATCTAGTACCAATCAAAATTTAATTTAGTTTCGAGTATAACATTTGTCATGTAAACAGGTTTAATATAAGGCATATTATGCAACTCGCATTTTTTTTTCAGCCCAATCTTTAAACTCAAAGAAAGATACCGCACGTTTTGTTGAAAAGATTTTTTGTGTTTTTAATCGAGCACTAAAAGATATTCCAAAATGCACGTGACAGTCGCCATTTGCCGTACTCTTAAAAGTACTTTACTGAAATGCAGACTTTGAAGTCCCGAACAAAGACAAACTTACCAGCGGAGGATTTTGACAATAAGTTATGCATATTTAGAGGGGAGAGGTCTGACATTTTAACTTGTTTTTGAGCGCAGGGTCATGTGTGATTTTCACAAAAAGACACGTACAATAAATATAAAAATATACTTATGACTATTTCTTAAACAAAATAGCATAATCCCGGTCGGGGCGGAGGATGTTTCGTCGTCATGACTCCTAGCTCTCCGTGGATACACACATGTGATGTTCACGTACAGGAAAACAGCCAATATTTTTTGTTCATATCATCATGGTATGATATATTTAAAATTGATATAAATTAGAGAAAAGTCCAACATATTTGAACCAATGAAATCGCTGGAGTTGTTAAAAACATTGCACACTTAATTATGAATATTTTGTACTTAATGTAAGTGTGAAAATTCCGCCCATACTACTGCAGATTCAGTAGTTTATCCAATGAAAATGTAGGCTATGATAGAACCCTAAAAGAAGTCCAAACTCGGTTTGATTGATGGGCATGGAAAGTGCAAACTACCGTCCATGTCCTCTAGCATCGGTATTATGTGATGTCCGAAACAGATTGTTGTTTTGTTTGTAACAATTATTCTGAATATACTTTCCTAAGTCCATTGTTGTTGAGTTTTTTCACAATGGTTTTTTATAAATTATCGATCAAAAGATTTCACAATAACGCAATATTGTAAATACTGTACCAACATATATCGTATATTTATGTAATCAGTGTATATATAATGTAGTAAAAGATTTCACAATAACATTTGTATATGTTTAGCAGGAAAAATAAGTTGTAAATACTGTATGCCAACAAAGAATGAATGTAATTTATAAATTGTTACCCCGGCACTTACAAACTGTAAATAACCAAAAGCAAGTCCAAAAATACAAAAAGAGCCCTTACTACATAAGTCACGCAGTAGAAATATGGTGATAAATACTGCAAAATCAGTCAGTTATCGCACATAAAATGTTAATTATTACTCTTAAAAGTTTAATATATTTTTCTCAAGTTTGGTTTTCTTGAAGTATGTTGGCAAATCTGGAGGGATGCAGGTTAAATAGCTTTAGTCACTATAAACTTTATATAAATGAAAACACTCCGATGATTAAAAATTGCTTAAAATGTGAAATGTGTATCTATATATATTTAATGGTGATGAGGATGTTAATTACGTATTTTCTTTCTTTAAACTATTATAATTGTTGCTTTATATCTAGAAATATATGTATATGATATTTTCTTAGATAAAAAGTCATGCTACATACATGTAAATAGTTTCATTATATTTAGTCAGTTTATGATTAGACCCGGAAATAACTATTATCCTCGTTACAGTGTTTGATAAGTGCCGAAAACAATAACATCTATGACACATTCAGTGATAATTAAAATATCTTAATTGTAACCGGAGATATTTTCAATCATACTTTCCTGTTGATCAGTTTGCCGCTGTATTTCAAAATTAATCATAGTTTATTGTGTGAACAATCATTTAAAACATGTTTTATATACATGTATAGATGAATGTTATTACTACAATGAACTTCACTTGTATGGAACTCAGTTACTGTCCTAGGATGATAACTTGAGCCTTTGTTTACATAACAAAGACCAATAACAATGCGAAAAATAGGTTAGGCAGATTAATGCGACGACCTATAAAAATGAAAATAAAACTACATGTTATCATATGTCTTGTTAGCGCAGTAGGTAGAGAAACCGTGTCAGTAATATGTTATACCCGTACAGACAGAAGTTCGACTACTGGTAAGACATATTCTTTTACCTCAGAACAGTCAATTGTTCAGAAAACAAGTTTGACCATTTTTTTCATATACATACATGAATACGAGATCAAATTATCATCCTAGGACAGTATAGAGAATTTACTGTTATTGTTTAGTTTGGTATTCATCGGAGCATATAAAATGGGTTGAATGTAATTGTGACTGTTGTTTCAGAACAACTATAAAATTGACTTTGCATAAATATATATGTCTTAAAATATCTTTAGCATGATTTGTTGTTACAAAGATGGCAGGAGTGTTAATATTTATCCCAATTTAACTTGTCGTTACTTCTTTTCCTCGATGAAAGAGATCTATGATAAAAACATCATGAAGCATGCTATTTCTTGAGTAAAATTCATCAAAAAAGTAAATGGTATGATTGATAAAAATGAAGATAAAAATGCACATATTTTATTTTTGTATGACATCGTGTGATTCAATGAACTAGTGTCATAATAAGATCTTGGTCTGGACATTTATTCAACTTGTTCACTATGCTTGCATGTATATAGTTGTGTTATATAAAGATGAGCTTTATATGCTGCTTAATTCAAAATGAAACATATGTTCTGCTCTGTTTTCTGTTCACTTTGCGAGACAAGTAACACATGTAACGATATAATGCCAGTAATGTCATGATGGATCACACATGCAATACGGGCTTACTTGTATGTGTCATAGGGTATATATATATATACAACTGATAATACCTACCTGGTTGAGCTGACTCGCGACAAATATTTATTTAGGCTGTAGATAAAATATCAAAATATGTATATAATTATGTAACTAAATTATAACTATATTATCTGGTATTCATCTTAAAATGATTGGTTATTTTGTTGGCTGTTCAACAGAGATGCATTTATTCATGTGTTACCAAATAACAAAAACTTAATGTTTCCGTCTATTGTATAATAATTATATAACAAATAGTTGAAACAAAGCCATTTAATTATTACACCAAGTTCTAGAATTTTTTTGCTGTTGTTTTCTTTTTCAAATATAGTTATTAAAAGAGTATTTCGATGTGGATCTTGTACTTGGCGAGATAGGACTTTAATAATTAACGATCTCACGAGACGCGGACAGTTGTACAGTTCGTTACAGTTTACTCAACGAGACCCAAAACAAGCAATTTAAATTCGATATATTTGGCCATAACGTTATGTTATTACCTTAGCAAAGTCTTTACATAATGGTATTACGTGAGCACTGTCATTACTCTATGGTTTACGTTAACAACGTCATTACAAAATGGTATTACCTTTGCAACGTCATTACTAAATGACATCACCTTAGAATCGTTATTACGTAATGGTATTACGTTATCAAAGTTATTACGTAACATAAGCACGTTAGCAAACTAATAACGTTATGGGAGTAGGTTAGCAAGGTCATTACGTAATGGTAATACGTTAGCAGGGTCATTTCCCAATGATATTACGTAATGGTTTTACGTATGAATCTCCTTTCTGTCGGGTCGCATAAGCGCATGTGATACATGTAGTAAAAAAATGAAAAGGTTTTTTTTTCAAAACACGCATGAATATCTATTTACTTTTAAAGGCCCATTATGCCTCAGAAATATTTTTATTTTTATTTCCCAAAAGCTATTTAATTTTGGTGTACTCTTCTAGTATCCAAAATAATACTCATTGGCTTTTTATTGGAACCATTTTGTCCATCTATTGCAATTAGAAAAGTTATAGTAAATAAGTATTTTGTTTATAGGTTAAAAAAATACTACATTGTTTACATTTTGTTACTTTATGACAAAGTATATCATATTTATCGCTAATTTTCAGGTAACAAACATCCAACATTTCTCTAAAATCATTATCAACAAGAGCTGTCACAGAATGTGACAAAGGCCCCGAAGAATTCTAGTTAAAAACCACATATTGCATGTTAAGTGTGGTGGTAAAAATTGACAAAGTTCGAACCCCAGCAGTGACCTTTAAGTTAGACAAAGAAACCTGGGTCTTACTCACAACACAATGTCCACCACCTTCTATATTTATGTAACATAAACAATGACAAAGTTTGAACTCCCACACTGACCTTGACCTTCCTAGTAGAAACCCGAGTCTTGTTCCCGACACACCATACATCATGGTAAATTCATGTGTGAAAGAAAACTTACAATCCTTCCATACATACTGAAGTTTCAGAGCGGACACGACCACCCCCTTTTATATTTATATAACATACAAAATGTCAAGGTTTGAATCCCCACAGTGACCTTGACCTTAGTGCTAGGAACCAAAGTATTGTTCGCGACACACCATACATCTATGGTTATTTCATATGTGAAAGAAAAATTAAAATTCTTTCATGCATACTGAAGTTCAGAGCGGACACGACCACCACTGTCCTTGACAAATGAACGCATCTAACAAAACTAATTAATTCAAATGTTCAAATGTGACTTTGAGCATTGAATGACTTTGACGGTCAAGGTTAAATATTAAAATTGAACTGTATTTTGTTCAAGAGAATTATGTTGTTTATTTTTTTGTTGTTGTGTTTTTTTGAGTAGTCTAAAATAATTTTCCTCCGCTGTCTTTAACATTATAAGAAAGAAATGCGAGCGTTGTCCACGATTTGCTGTAGCTCTTGTAATTTATTTTATTCGTTTAAAATGCAGATCTTATGATAGGAAATAATGTCCTGCGCGAAATTAACCAATCCGCTTTGACTTACATGTTCTATTTAAAGCTTCCTTACTGAGAAGTGGTCGAAATCATATAACCAGTTTACTTAAGGCTGTTATTTTTTGTACAAACGAAGAGTTTATATACACTAACATGACATACTTGTGCTAGCTATTATATTCATCCAGGCATTACATATATGTTTTTTTTTTCAATATGTGAAATTATTCATCAACTCAACAAAGGAACAATTTATGCATAAACAGAAAATGTGTCGTGAAGAATAGCGATAGAGGTAAGGTTTTTACAATTACCATTAACTTAGCCACTAGGTTAAAATGATATGTCGTTTATTAAATATCCAACGAAGTATTATTGCTCATTTGTAGATAACTAAGAAAATGCAAAGACATAGTGTAATCTGATTGATTAATTATCTCGTTACAGCATAGTGTCTCGTGCCCACGACTTAATTATTTTCTGCGCACGACTTGGTTACTCTTGACCACCACTAGATTATCTCGTGTGAAAGACTTACTTAGTCGTGGCCACGACAAGGTATCTCGTGCACCACTCAATTATTTCGTTCCCACGACTTAGTTACTCGTGGCCACGACATAGTATCTTGTTCCCACGACTTAGTTACTCGTGGCTACGACATAGTATCTTGTTCGCACGACTTAGTAACTCGTGGCTACGACATAGTTTCTTGTTCGCACGACTTAGTAACTCGTGGCTACGACATAGTTTCTTGTTACCACGACTTAGTAACTCGTAGCTACGACATATTATCTTGTTCGCACGACTTAGTAACTCGTGGCTACGACATAGTATCTTGTTCGCACGTCTTAGTAACTCGTGGCTACGACATAGTATCTTGTTCGCATGACTTAGTAACTCGTGGCCATGTAACAACGCACTTTGGGGTCAAACGCACTTTGGGGTCTGACCTCAACGTACGTAACGTACTTGGGAGTCCAATCCCAAATTGCGTTACGCACTTTGGTGTCAAATTTGACCCAAAAGTGCATTACAAAGGTACATATGCATTTTTTTAACATAAGACAAACGACCGCACTTTGTGGTCATAATGTTTAAATCAATAAGAATGAATTGTAGTGATATTTCAAAATAATATCTTAAAGTTGATGCCAATTGTAAATATAAATAAGGAACGTAGTAGACGAAATGTATGATGTTTGACCTGAAAGTGCTGTGTTACATGGCCACGACATAGTATCTAGAGCACACCACTTAAATATCTCGTTCCCACGACTTAGTTTCTCGTGACCAGGTTATAGTTTCTCGTGCGCACTACTTAATTATCTTATGCACACGACTTATCAACTCGTGGCCATGACATAGTATCTCGTGCGCTCGAGAAAAAATAACCACGCACAAAGGTCATTTCTTTGTCACCGTAAAAGTCGGATGAAAAGTACGTTGTGTGTAACTGGACATTCAAAACAGTCTTTTATGGAATTGGACCAAAGGCTTTGTATTTCAATATAGTCCTGTGTCCAATACATGACCCCTATTGATTTTAAGGTCATTGGGTCAAAGGTCAGGGTCATAATGGTCTTTACACTAAAATTGTGCTTTCTGGAGCAAAACACAAGTTTCAATAAAAGCTTTTGGTTATTATACGAAACGTCCACGTAATTAAATTAACACCGAGGAATAACCATTTAAGTCCAGTTGAAGCAATTCGGATAACTTTTGCTGAGTACCAAAAGTCAGTATTACGAGAAGTTATTATTACATTTCGTTATCTCGATAATTTTTGGACAGTTCCAATGACTTCGAGATAACGAGAATCGACTGTACATTATATATATTATATTGTATTTTGAGAAAAAGATATTCAAATGTGCCATCAGATGCTTATCTATGCCAAAAAAAGGTGTTCAACCCTGATGACAATCATTTTATTTATTGCATTTATAGACGTCTTCTTCATTATAAAAGCTCTGAACTGTAAAGTTTTAAGCCATGTAGTTTTACACAATGCTCTCATATGTGTCAATCTATATCTATATGAAAACTATAGGTAATGTTACACATCAAATATCTAAGCTTAGTAAATTTTGAGGAGGACATTCATTAACATTAAGTTCCTTTTGCTTGACATGTTTGACCTGAAAGTGCAGTGTTACATGGCCACGACATAGTATCTAGAGCACACCACTTAAATATCTCGTTCCCACGACTTAGTTTCTCGTGACCAGGTTATAGTTTCTCGTGCGCACTACTTAATTATCTTATGCACACGACTTATCAACTCGTGGCCATGACATAGTATCTCGTGCGCTCGAGAAAAAATAACCACGCACAAAGGTCATTTCTTTGTCACCGTAAAAGTCGGATGAAAAGTACGTTGTGTGTAACTGGACATTCAAAACAGTCTTTTATGGAATTGGACCAAAGGCTTTGTATTTCAATATAGTCCTGTGTCCAATACATGACCCCTATTGATTTTAAGGTCATTGGGTCAAAGGTCAGGGTCATAATGGTCTTTACACTAAAATTGTGCTTTCTGGAGCAAAACACAAGTTTCAATAAAAGCTTTTGGTTATTATACGAAACGTCCACGTAATTAAATTAACACCGAGGAATAACCATTTTAGTCCAGTTGAAGCAATTCGGATAACTTTTGCTGAGTACCAAAAGTCAGTATTACGAGAAGTTATTATTACATTTCGTTATCTCGATAATTTTTGGACAGTTCCAATGACTTCGAGATAACGAGAATCGACTGTACATTATATATATTATATTGTATTTTGAGAAAAAGATATTCAAATGTGCCATCAGATGCTTATCTATGCCAAAAAAAGGTGTTCAACCCTGATGACAATCATTTTATTTATTGCATTTATAGACGTCTTCTTCATTATAAAAGCTCTGAACTGTAAAGTTTTAAGCCATGTAGTTTTACACAATGCTCTCATATGTGTCAATCTATATCTATATGAAAACTATAGGTAATGTTACACATCAAATATCTAAGCTTAGTAAATTTTGAGGAGGACATTCATTAACATTAAGTTCCTTTTGCTTGACATGTTATGATGCATGGCCAGTTTTCCGTCCAGCTTTGTTATCTACATTGTCTTCATCACCTCTCCTTAACCGCATGTTAGATTGTGATTAAACTTCGCATTAATGAATATTTGCTTGTACTTTTCTAAAGATATGCCAAAGTAGCTGAAAGTCCTTTTAAATGACGTGTTTTACTAAGGAACGACATAACTAAATAGATATTATTGTGGTCCTGTGCTTAAGGTATATAAAATATGCCCCTGAAGTTAAAATTTGAGTCCCTGATTTAATATAAACGAATAATCTTATCTGGAAGTACAATGCCTTGAACTTATTTTTATTTTTTCATGTTGCATTTCTACCGGATCCTTACAAGTTTTTTTTTTACAAATCGAGCGGCTTGTCATAAATAACTTACATATACAATACATTGTTCGAGGATGTAAATATATCACGTCACTAATCATTTGTGAATTTTATTTAAATGTTATTCCCGACTTTACATCCGGTTTGTTTGTAGTTAAGAGCGGGAACATTAGGCCTAAAATATAAAAATATTTGTTTCTCCTACACTATACGCTCCAATAAAAGAAATAACTGCAAACAATATATTAAATATGAAGAAAAGTAATGCATGAATTTTGCCGAATTGTGCAAAATCTTTGACAGACAAATATACTGTAAATTTGTTAACAGAAAACAAGAGCACCGCTAGGCGGAGCATTATATGCCCGAAAGTGTTTATATATATATATAGTTGCTTTTCCAAAGCACCACCATCAATTGTTATCTTGTAAGTAAAAATGCTACGACGGATGGACAGAAGGACCCCCGGGGTATAACGTATGAAGCAAATGTTTAGGGCATTTAATAAATGTACTCAATATAAGTGATCACCCTATGAAGTTTGACAGTTGTAAAACAGTTGTAAAACTGTTAAAAATATTAAGGTCATTTGATATTGACCTTTGACCGTGTGATCCCAATATAGATATTGATCTTTTATTCAATATAGGCAATCATTCTATGAAGTTTGAACACTGTTAGCTAAATTGAAACTTGTGTTTTGCTCCAGAAAGCTCAATTTTAGTGTAAAGACTATTATGACCCTGATCTTTGACCCTATGACCTTAAAATCAATAGGGGTCATGTATTGGACATGGCTGTGTATCTGTAAAATTTTACAGCTGTAGGTTGATTAATACTTTAATAATTGAGGGGAAACTGTTTCAGTTTAAAAGAAATAGTGACCTTGACCTTTAACCATGTGACCCATAAATAAATAGGGAATTCGACCGAATAATGGCAATCATCCTATGAAGTTTAAACACTGTGGGCCAAATGGAACTTGAATTCTACTCCCGAAACCAAAATTTTCAGTGTAAAGATCATTGTGACCTTGACCTTTGACCATACGACCCTAAAATCAAAAGGGTCATGTTTTTGACCTGACTGTTCATCCTATAAAATTTTACAGCTGTAGGTTGATTAATATTTAAGCTCTGGAGCGGAAACTGTTTTCAGTTCTAAGCTGATAGTGACCTTGACCTTTGACATTTGGACCTCAAAATCAATAGGGGTATTTTTTCTAAGATGGACTTTCATCCTATGAAGTTTGAATATTATGGGTCAAATGGAACTAAAGTTATGCTCCGGAAACTGTTATAGAACATAGAATAGTGACCTTGACCTTAAACCTCGTGACCCAAAAATCAATAGAAGTCTTCTATCTAATATGGACAATCATCCTATGAAGTTTGAATATTGTGGGTCAAATGGAACTTAATTTATGCTCATGAAACCAAATTGCTAATGGACGGACGGACAGACATACGGGCGGACGGACGCCAAGGGGTGTAACATAATATGTCCGAAATTCTTTTGGGCATATAAAAAGGAATGAGTGCATTTGGCTGCTTTACATTATATTTTAAGTGTGACTATAAATAGTTACAGGACATGATCATATTTTAGAAAATGTACGACAGGCAGAAGCAGGTTACATGCACGCCGGGGTTTCTTGGCTTACTGTCTCATTAGGGTTCCCATTCAAACTGACATTCGGAAAACCTTTCTTTTTACCATCAATACTCATATCAAGTTTGGCGAAAATTCATCAAAATGGAACTCCAAACGCGTTCATTGGTTTTTTTGTTTTGTTTTGTTTTGCACCCGTAAAATGATTGAATGATTTAAGTATGTGAAACAATTTACCATAAATTCATGACCAAAAAAAAAATATATATAACGCAA